TGCGAGAGAGCATATTATGCCCTAGACTGATATGTATATATTGAGAATCCAATTTTACATGGACTTGAAACAAGGTGATACAATAGTTTACTTCTCTTGGCTTGATGACCTAAGCACAGTCATATATATATAGCTTCAGTTGGATAGTTCTTTTGTGATGTACAGTGTATGGTTGAAACATTTCATGTTTAGAGTTTTGCATAGTTTCTGGAAGACTCCATAAGCAACACCCAAAAGTAGAAGCCAAAGGTTGGAAGTGAGACATCTAGAAGCCTTTAGAAGCTACATCTAGCAACTTGCAGTTAACACAAATAAAAAAACATGTGGAACAATTAGGAGAAGATTAGAAAGTCTAGAATAAAACCGCCTTATAGAAGGCGGTGCAACTACGATCAACCTTAAATAGAGGCAAATACTTCACTTCTGAACCAAGCTAAGTGCTCATATCGGAGTGTAGATAGATATGCATTGTTATCTATCCTTTCTTATCTAACAAAAAGGTTACTTTTTCAAATACCCATCGGAGCCATTCATATTTTGTTACACAAACCGACTTATCACTACTAAATAATTATTCCATTCCAAGTCGCTTTGAAGTTTGAACATAGTTACATTATACATATAATAAAGCAGTCTTTGTTGACCTGATGTAACTTGTTTGAGATATTGCAATTGAAATGTAACTGAAATCACAAGAAAAGCTGCCATGAATCTCAGCATTCATGGTTCAGTTTCGAAGTCTACAATTCAGGTCAGGCACCTACGGAGAGACTGTATCTACCGGAGAAACTTGCACGTTATGTTGTTCATTTTACTTTTGTTTATTATATCTAGTCGTCCACTTTTGTTTACTTTGGGTACAGACGAGCTTCCGCAAAATTTGTGAGCCTGTTTATATTTTGGTTTACAGCTTTTCCTTAGTCCAATCTTGGAAATCCATTGAAATCTTAACGCTCCGAATTCAACAATGGTAGCTAGGTAAGAAGGAATAAGGGATGAGAACTTTGAAAAGCATAATTTTATATGTGCGTATTTTTCTCTTTTTGTAAACTTACTTGAAATAGAGAATGTATATATAGCAGGTGACGCTGAAATAACTTCTGTGTTTTGAGACTTTTTTATACATTTTTTATTATTTTTTTATTCTCCCTCTTTTTTAATCATATCATTCATTATGTCTCTTATTCTCTCTCTCTCTCTCTCTCTCTTTCTATTTTTCTCTTCTCTCCATCTTGATCCTCACGTCGACATTAAGGTATAATTTACTCATGGAATAAATGAGAGCTGAATGTCAATTTTTACCTACATTTCTTGAAATTTGGTTCTAAAGTTAACATTAAATTAAATGTGAAGAAACTTAGACCCAAACAAGATTATTTTATTTATGATATAAATGAGAGTTGAATGCAAATTTCTACCTACTTTTCTTAAGTTTTGGTTTGAAGTTAACATGAAATTTGAAGAAACTTATGCCCAAATTATTTTTTTAAAATTTTTTCAATCTAAATTACAAATATTTTTTAATAATTTTTTTTATTTGAGTTGGATGAAACTAGTGTGAAAAATAAAACTACTTTTCTAATTATTTAATATAAGTATATTTATAAAGATTCTAAAAGATTTAATTAGTGCAATAATAATATCAAATTTGAGTGTCAATTTTTAAATGATTAAATATTATAATTTTGTTAAATAGTTTAATGAGATAATTTTTATTTTAAAATTTTCAAAATCAGTATTAATGGTTAATGTTAGTAAAATTATAAATTTTCTACATAAATGATTAATACGTTCCTAGCTTGCTCTCAGTTAAGAAATTTTATATGAATTCTCTTTTATCAACGATAAAAAAAAAAGTGAGATTTTTTAAGGTTGAATTAAGTCAAAGATATAAAAAATAATGAATAATGCAACAAATAATTTTAGAAAATTCTTTATATACTATAATAAAAAATGCTAGTAAAATATTGCTTAATATTTTATTTTTGACATATTTTTTATTATTTTATTAAAAATTATAAAAGGATATAAGAAAAATACTAAATTAAAAATAAGAAAGTATAATTTTTGTAAAATTTATAATTTTTAATAAATTTAATTCAATATGTATTAACGACTATTAGTAGCATCAATCAATACTTATGAAAAATTATTCTTATACACACGTGACAAATTATTTTTATGACATGTCATAGAAAAATAATTCATTGATATTTATTAAATGAGATAAGAAGAAAAAAAAAGAAAAAGAAAATAAATGATGTGATAAAAAAAATAGATATAATAAAAAGTATATTTAGAAATATAATAATTGCACACTATTTGTTACATTGGTTTTTGGTGATTTTTCACATTACGTTTAAACTAAACCAAATTACTAATGAGTTAGAAACATGGCTTTAATTAAGAATTTTTCTTGAGAAAACATTTTAACACCCATTTAAGGTGTTATTACCTCATTGAACAGAGGTATGAGAAAGGAAAAGGAAAAGTTAAAATATATAATAAAAAAAATAAAGAATAACGATGGTAGAAAATGAGTGCAAAACAAAAACATGAATGTGTATGAAAATAAAAAAATATTCCTTGTCGCAAAACAGTTTGTGTTGCCTAAAGTGTGTAGACCTTATGTTATAGTACTCTACCACCGGAGATTAGACATGTCCTTCTCATACAATACATTATAGTTTCACATCTCTTTCAGAAATTAAAAAGGACACTTTCACTCCTTTTATTCCGGTGTGTATAATTTGATTAAAAATATGTTTTAAAAATACTTTTTTTTTTTTTTTCAGTTTGATGAAATCAAGTGTGAATGCAAAAGAAAGTCTCACTTGAAATAAAACATAAATTAATTAGGGCTCTATAAAAAAAAAGGACCTGTAGATTCATTGCTTTAAGGTTTTGAGTTACAATGTAATGTTCTAGGTGTAGGCTCTTCCTTCTTTAGTTCCTCCCTACCAAACAAGATGATGAGTTTTTGACAGAGCCAATAATAACAATGGTTGGTTGTAAGGTTTAGGATTGGTTGCAGTAGCCTATATAAAGTATGATTCGAAAAGCGTAATGTTATCGTTGGAGCTTTGAAATATCACTTTGAATTGGAGAAGAACTTCTAACAACTTACCATACGTTGAGGTTTGTATCTGAAAAGAAAATTATTTATTAAGTTTGTAGACAAATTATTTGATATATCATATCTCTGAAAAATATGATCCCTAATACATTACTTCCCTCTGAGGGCTCCTGTGCTCTCACTCGAGCACTACCCACGTTCAATTCTTGGAAAAAATGTGATAACAATTGATCTATATTGGCCTTTTTATTTATTTTATCTAGCTACTTAATTAGTAGCACCTGCAATTTTGGAGTTCTCTGTTCATATTCTTGCAAACCTTCCAGAGAGAGGAAGAAAGAAAAAAGATGTAGTCACTCTGGATCAGCAACTGTTTATTGCAATGATGGTGCGGTGTCATGAATAGCTAGAACAAGGAGCCGAATTGGACGCATTAAACAAAAATAAAAAGAGGAGCCTGAAGAAGGAGGCAAAAGAGAAAACTTCACGCTGATTCTAATGTTTAATGTTTTTTCAAAATAAATACATAAAGCTTTTTGTTAACTATTGTGGTTATTTAAATTATCATATAATTATATCAATAATAAAAATTAATTCTAATTAACTTTTTTTATAGTGATTAATGTATTATATTTATTTGTTCAGAAAAAATATTATTTATATGTTAATCATATAAAAGTTTAAGAAAATATTAATTATTATTATTTATTTAATATCTTTTTTGTTTATATAAAATATTTATATTATTTAAGTAATCTAAGAGTAAAAAAAATTAATGAATTTAATAATTAATTCTAACTAAATAATGGTATCCTTTGTTATATGTATAATTTTTATTAAATAAATTAGAAAACATATAGTATTTGTTATAAATAAATAAAGGTCTTATTAATCAACATTTTTAGTAACTAGTTAGAGAATAAAATAAAAAATATTTAAAATTATATTAAAATGTCATTGGGATACTTATAAAATTTTATATAATTAATAAATAATTATATTTTAATAGAGGTTCAAATAAGGAGAAAAAATATAAATATTTTTTAGTTAAACAATATTTTAGTCTCTACAAATATTGTCTTTTAAATTTAATCTTTATAAATATTTTATTTAATCTTAGATCCTAAAAATATATATTTTTTAATTTTTAATACAAGACTAAAATCACGTAGTAAGAATTAAAGTGAATACAATTTTTATAAAACTAAAAGCGTGATACTTTTAGAAACTAAAATACTATGTAAATACTATGTAAGTTAATATTTTCGTTTCACTAAAAAAATTGTAGAGAATACATATTATATTGGCAATTTGTATCCTATTCTAATATAAAAAGAGACAAGTAAAAAAGAAGTTATCATTTTATATAAAAAATTTTCGTTCTTTCCCATTTTCTTTTGCTAGAAAGATAACATAATTTATTTTCTCTAAAATGTTTAAAACTCCATTTTTTTCTTAATATTTAATTTTTATATTATTTTCTTTAACTAAACATAATTTTGATAAAGATAATATCTTGGTCAATAACTTCATAAATTATTTAATAAATATAAAATGAAAACATTGAAAATTTTTAAAAGTTAGTTATTAATATTTCTATTATAATTTTACTCCTTGTTTAAAAATATAACTTATTCATTACATAATATATATATATATATATATATATATATATATATATTAATCTTATTGTTTTTCTCTTCATTTTAACAGTAATCTTTTTCTTTTTCATGTTCAAACACATGTAGAGTCATCGTTATCGAATCGTATTTAAATATGATTCGATATATCATAAAAAAATACTACTATAAACAGTAAAATAATTAGATTATATGATAAATACAATTATCATATTATTCAAATTTGAAAATTTTAACCAAACATCATAAAGTATATCACATAAAATAAATAGTCTAAAAAATGAGTGAAGCAAATGCTTATTTTATTTAATAGCAAATAAACTGTTTTACACGATTTGGTGTATTTTTAGTGTAATGTTGAGTACTCCCTCGTCAAGTGAGTAACAAGTGAAGGGTTTCCAACAAGTAATGGTCACCATTCATCAGATACATATTGGATCCACTACAGCAACAATCCAAGACTTAAAGACAGTACCCAAGCATGTCATACCTTTCAGGCTCCGCTCTGAACTTGCATTCTACTTTAGAATTTGAACCTCGAAAATTGTTTTGTAAAAAATTTATCTTACATTTTCGATTTTGCTTTCTCAATAAGCTCTCTTCGGAGAACTTTTCCCGATGCTGTCTTTGGAACAGAATTGATGAATGTCACCCTTCGTAATCTTTTGAAAGGTGCTACCTGCAAAAATACAAAAGTGAGTGTCGACACAGACAAATCGTTCAGATGTGATAATTGACCTACAGTGAAAGTATACAGAACAAATCCTACACTAACGCATCATACTGCTGTGCATGCAAACATGATTTAAATCCAGTATTACTAATAGAAACGTGTGGGATGAGAATTATGAGAAGAAAAGTCCCTGTTGTGTAGCCTTCAACTGATCTAAAAAAGTATCTTGTGTAAGTGTTCATGCCCATCCACAATATCCAGTCCAGCATTTGTTGAAATGTAAAGCTCGATCACAACCAAAGAGAGAAGCAATTCTCTAGAAGCATGCATTTTAAAAATCTCTGAACTGTATTTTCAGAACTCCCTTAGTTGCACTGTCTTTACAAGTCAAACGAGCATATAATTTCATGAATGCAAGTGAGAGAGATCAAGCATGTTTCTCATCTCTCTCTTACCTGATTAGCAATAAACTTTTGAACATCTTCTTCAGTCAGTGAACTATTGGGTGAACGGACGACATAAGCAACTGGAACTTCACCAGCTTTAGCATCCGGATATCTACATTTTGGAAGTAACTCAATGATGAATTCTAATAACTGATAGTATGAGATGTATTTCTTGTGTACGCATAATCATATAATGATTATGTATGTCAAACTTACGGGATGACAACAGCATCAAGTATTTCAGGGTGAGAAACAAGAAGCCCTTCAAGTTCTGCTGGTGCAACCTAGTTAAAACGACGAGGCAAATACCAAATTATTCAGTAGGATCAGAACCCTAGACCATAAATGTTCATTGCTGAGAATAATGAGAAAGGTTATAATTTTATAAACACATAGTTACCCACACAGACAGCAAACATATTATGCACCCGAGTTACTACCCTTGACTCAAGATACAGTTTGGGGTATAACAGTTTAAATGCACCAAAGCACCAGATTATCCATGTACTGCTCAGTTAAACGGGGATTTTGGTTGAGATTTCAGATATATGACCAGGCATGCATTTATGACATGCCAGACAAATTTTACGTCCATCATTGACATGACATTCGGATTACATACCTGATAACCTTTATATTTGATCAACTCTTTGATACGGTCAACAACAAAAAGTTGTCCATTCTCATCGAAATATCCAAGATCTCCTGTATGAACCCATCCTTTTTTATCTATTGTCAATCTTGTGGCCTGTGGATTGTTGTGATAACCTGAAATTTTTGTAATATTTATACTGCATTTCATCTAGAAGAAGACTCAAAGGAATACAATTTATTGCCATACTGCATATGAAGTAAAGGAAAAAAAAAAATTTTGAAACTTCCGAGCAAAGGGAAATACTTAAAATCAATGCAAAGCGTAGCAGACATTGAGATGTATACTAAAACCATTGGCCTACATTTTCATACATCAGAGAAAATCTCCTTCTAATAATGAGCTCTAGCCTTTATCTTCATCAAACAAAAGTGGAGTTTAAAATCAATTTCTTAAATGCCACACTAACTTAAATTCATGGCCATTCCTATGCTCTGTATGTCAGCTCTTTCCCGGCAAGAATCAAACGCTCAGGAAAACAATCATTCAATTGATGAGTAAGTCTGATGCCAAAATACAGTCACACATATCAGCAGTTCTGTAACAGTTTTTGAAGGCAAGAGCATGGAAGCAAGGCTTAAGTTTAAGCCATTTAATCACACCTTGCCTCTCATCATTAAAGTGAAGGAAACAACCAAAGCACTAATCATAACAATTTCGCTATCCTCTGGTGCTCTGTTGATTTTACCAATAAAATTCCTAACTTTTCAGCCAAAGAGGAACAGTTTGTGTCAGGAACATCTCATGAAACACGTCATACTGGTAATTTATCACAAAACCTCTCATTTCAATACAATGAATGAAAAAAATATGTAGCATGAAGCATGTTGACCACCCAGTCACCCACATTCCAGTGGAAAACACTGGGTGAGACAAGATTCTAAATTAGTGATCATACCAGAATGACGCTCTCCACTCCACCGTGATATATAATGACTTGTACAAATTAGTGATCAGATAAAACATGGCTACAAAAATTATTTTTTCGGGCATGAAGCAGGAAAGAGTATTTTTTTTGGAGAACGAAGCTACTCAATTATTATATCTAGGAGGAGCAGTTGCATCGGCAGAGATTTCATAAATGTATTCATGATTGATTAACATGGTTACGCGAGGACATTGGTCAGTGTATGAATTAAGATGCATATTCCAATAACCGCAAAGTCACTTCTATATTTCAACTTGAATCACAAGGACACAATAACAGGACGGCACTGGCAGTCTATTGGCAAGGGACTTGAGTGTACATTTAGGGTGCATACCACATATTTTTTCTTTTATCATATAGGATTAACATGTGTAAGGTTTTAAATTTACCCCCACGAGTTGAAAACAGATTCATACCACAGTATGGTATCAAGTATAGCCCTCTGCAAGCCTTTTCATCACTTCCCAAGGGTAAATTTTTTATTCATCCATAACACCGAATTACTACATTAGATTGCACTGTACCTTGCATCATATTAGGACCCCGTACCCATATCTCCCCCAACTGTCCAGGAGGGAGAGGCTTCAGTGTATCCACACTCACTATCTGAGCTTCCACTCCCGCAACAAGCATTCCAGTTGAACCGGTATGCCGAATCCCCATCCTCGTGTTCTCCACAGAAACAATCCCACAAGTTTCAGTCATACCATAGCCCTGAAACCCATAAAGCGTATATGCATGATTATCTTACTTCATGTTCATATTAGATTACAATCACAATCAAAATCAAAATAAAAAACTCACTACTAGCTACCTTACTTGAGAAACAATGGCATGAGGGAAACGCCTGGCACCCTCCTCCATCAACTCTTTCCCTAGAGGAGCAGCACCAGACCCAATATGCTTCAATGAGGAAAGATCATACTTTTCAACCAACCCATGTTTGGCCAGAGCAAGCAAAATAGGAGGCACAATCCACAAATGCGTCACCTTATACTTCTCAATCATCTTCAAAACCACTTCAAACTCAAACCTCTTCAAAGACACCACCGTACTACCCCTCTGAAGCTGCGTATAGCAAATCACCGTTAACCCAAACACGTGAAACATTGGCAGAACACAGAGGAACACACTGAACATCTCCCCCGCCAAATCATCGTCCATCGCAATCATCAAAGACGCAGCAATGAAATTCCCGTGGGTGAGAATCACGCCCTTGCTCAACCCCGTCGTGCCGGAGGAATACAGAAGCGCCGCCGTGTCACTCTGTCCAACATTAACCGTCGGAAACTCGGTCGGCGACCCGGCGAGTTCGAGCAACGCGTCGAAGCTAATGACGTTGTCGTATAACGGCGTGGAGGAACGGAGGAACACGGCGGGAAGGTTCAAGGACCTGACCTTGTCCCATAGTTCGGCGACGGTGACGACAAGTTTGGGGTTCGAGTCCTTAACCTGCTTGGAAACTTCAGCGGCGGTGTAGGAAGGGTTAACGGTGGAAACGACGGCGCCGAGTGAAACGACAGCGAGGAAGGAGACAATGAAACGAATGTCGTTTGGGGCGAAGAAGAGAACGACGTCGTTTTTGGTGAGGCCGAGGCGGAGAAAAGCGTGGGAGAGTTTAACGGTTAAGGACTTCAACTGAGCAAAAGAGAGGGTTTGGGATGCGTCAGCATCAATGAGTGCAGTTTTGGAGTGAAAAGAAGAGACTCTGTTGAAGAGATTCGAAACGAGGTTGATGTTAGGGCTTTTGGGTAACATCAAAGTGGGTCTCAGAGACCTGTATATACTGTCGGAACCATATCCGGATCTCTGCATTGGAATCTACAATACACAAAATTAGTACAAACAAATTACGATATCAGAGAATTAGAAATTCAGAAAACGTACTTTATATGCTTTTTAGTTGCGTCTTCTCTCTGTGTTTGTGTGAAAATGAAGCAACGGTGTCAAATGAATCAGACAGAGGAGAAATTTTGGGCTGAGTATTTTACTTAATTTTAAATGTTGACTTTTATTATATAAACTATAAGTAAAACTTAGTTTTAATTAAAAAAATCCTCACATTACCTATAGATTTTGTACCTAACTTCTCTTTTTTATTATTACTATTATTATGAGATGGGACAATAAATATGATTACGATGGGTTGATCTTGGTGATTTTTTAGGTTGTCCTGGAGTTGCGTCGTATTCGGTTGGATAAGAACAAAAAGGCATTGGGTTCGTCATTTAATTAATTATTTCCTAATTTTTTTATGGATGTTAATGACTTTCCAATTTATCTACCCAATGCATGGATGTCAAGTTGTCAACATGCAGCTATTTAATTTGAAAAACTTTTCATTTTGGATTGTAAAAGATGAAACCTCCGTAACTTATTTTCGATAGGAGTTTTTGTAACCACATAATAAAAATATTTATGACCATTTTATTTCAAACTTAAGATGTCATAAAATATAATATATTAATAACATTAAATATTATTTTTAATAAAAGTATTATTGATTAATTTTTCATTATATAATTATGTATAATTAAATTAGATGACCAACTTGTTTTGGGAATATAATTACTTGTCTTATATAATTTAAAAAAAAACACCTTTAAATAACAATTTTTTAAGGGGCCAGCGGGATGCGGTCCTGCTTCGATAGATGACTTCGTTGTCTTTTTTTTCTTCTTAGGTATTCTATAAAAAATTATAATATTTAATATTATTTAATATTTTCATTGAATAAAAATTCATTATATATAAAGCTTTTGTTATATATCTTTCTTTTGTTTGTTTTATAAGAATTGTATTATTTATGTTAACTAGGGACAATTTTTTTTCAAATTTTTAAATTAGACAAAATGTTATTATCCACGTTTTCTTCGTCATACATGCTAATATTTCTTCGCATGTTATCTCAATGTAGATTATATAATATTATAATCTATTACTCGCGCTCGTCGTTTTTTTCATGAAAATTCATCATATAAAACGATCAATGGCATTTTCCCATTTGGAACGTGGGTTATATGTAAGAAGAGTGTCATGGGCCCAAACTTGAAGGAAGACCCATGGGCCCAAGTCCACAAATTACATACCAAAATAAGAGATAGGCCTGAAACATGATACATGACATACACTACTAAAAGGATGGGCCAAGCTACTAGATTTTAATTCGTAGTTAGAGATCAAATTTATAATTAAAATGCCTAGCATTTTTTCACGCTTATTGGGACTCTTTATATGCAAGATTAATTTTCGTTGATAATAAAAATCTCATCTTTAAGGGTACTTGAAGCACTGGGGTTAAATTTGCTTATGAGTTGCCACTTGAGTCTCATCATGGTGTAAGGATTGAATTTGGCATAAAAATTAAAACTATGGTGTGTATTTTGATTTCACTCCACAAGATATTATATCAAATCAAAATAGTAACACGAGACTTTCTTTTGCTCAAACTAAAACTATGGCCTGAAACTTACAAGTTGTGCATTATTGTTTTGGAGTGCAATCTTAGTGATACTTGCTTTCTCGAGTATCAAAAGAGACAGGGGTTTGAGAGGTGCAACCACTACCAGTCCCGAGAAAAATGATTATGACATGACAAGTTTAAAAGAAAAAGAAACTTTTGCTATCCATTCAGTATCAGAAGTCAAAGTAACAGCAGCTTGACCTGTAAAAAGTTAAACCTTCACTTATTAAACCTTCACTTATTAAAAATTATTTTTTAATATATACTTATTATAGAAAATATTAAATCTATAACAGTGCAACTCGAGAATAAGCTCAGTGAAGCAGTATCTTCTCTTTTTTTATTATGCACAGGGTGATGATGATTAATGTAGTCTAACACGTCGGCAATGGACTTTCCGAGTAAAAGAAAAAAAATCAATTTTTTTTTGTTAAACTTTGTGTTTTAAATAAGTAATCAGTAATAATATTTTTATTAAAAATTATTTATAACTTTAAAATAATAAATATATGTAATTTTTATTGATAAATATTTAAATTCAACACTAAAAAGCTAGGGTTATCAAAACTTGAAATTAAGTAGCCAAATTATTGAGGTTAACTTTTTCACTCTTTGCGTGTGGGATATAATCAACTTATTATAACAAGATATAGTCGATGATTTAGTTTGCGCCATGATCAAACCCCTTTTTATTAATTTTCCATTTTATCCATTATCAATTTAGTATATAAGTGGAAAAATTGGCACGAGCAAGTTGATAGAAACAGTCTAATGAATAGAATAATCAACGACGATGACTATTCTATGGATCGCAGACAATGGTCAACATCAGAAACAGAGAAGTCCACCGTTTGGATGGTTAGGACCTAAAATTATACGTTGACAAAAAAAAAGCCTAAAATTATACTTTATTTGTTATATAATTAATAAGTTTAGGAATAAGGGAAAAAAAACACAAAATAGTACGTTCATGCGTATACTTGTTGGAAAAATTATAATTTATTTTTTATTATTTTTATAAGTCTAAAAATTGATTTATGAGAGTATGAGTTATTTCTAACTCACATATACAATAGTACATAAATTTTGAGTTTTTCTTGAACTTTATCTAATAATGTATGTTTTATTTATAAACAAATTTATATATATAATAAATCAATTAAAATACACGAATACATTATTATTTAATAATCATAAACTATTATATTGAGAATAATTATTAAATCTTATAAATAAATAATTAAAATACATTAATATACTATTAGTTAACAACAACGTGTCATATTAATTAAATTATTAATTTTTATCTATAAAACATTTTAGATAACATTACATTAAATTGAAACTCTATATACACACAATTCACAGATAGAGTTGCGTTGTTGATAATCAATATATGCCCATTTAATTCATGCCAGCGAACCACTTTTTGCATAGCGTACAATGCAACTCAGGTGAAGGAAAGTTCAAAATAGCTGCAAAATAAAGACTTTTTGAAACGAGTTTTTATTTTAATAATTTCAAATCTTTCTATTTTATATGTCTATACATTTTTTTATTATTGAATAAAATATAATTAAAATTTTAAAGTAATAAATAAGTAAATATTATTTTAATGTTTATTTTATATTACAAAATATTAGAGAATATAGTAAATAAACTTTTTTTAGCTCTTGAAAGAAGCAAGAGATTGAGCTGACTTTCAGAGAACCAAAACGAGTCTATCGTGTAATAATGACTGAAAAAACTTATAAAAACAGACACCTAATAATGCAAAAGATAAAGTGTGTAAAGGTTTTTTGTTTTCTTTTTCATAATAAATTGACGTTGTATTGGCCGCAATGAAAGTGGGTAGAAATTCATGTCATGCCTATGCGTCGATGCAATCTTTCATTGTCTGCTATTTCAAAAAGATTTGTTTTATTTATTTATTTACCATTTCAAAATACACAATAATTAGCTTTTTTAATTATACTTTTATCTCTATTTGATTCTTAAACACTTTACATATTTATCATAAAAAATTAATAATAATGAATACTATATAAATAAATTGACAATATGCTTTTTATATTGAAAAATGGATTACACCATAGAAAAAAGACAAAACTAACAAAGTAGCAATACCTCTCAATAAATCTATTTAATGTGTCAAGAGTGTTCATATATGGCACACCTTTTGACCTTTAAACTTCACTAGAAAAAAAAAACGTTTTCTCTAATACCATAAAAAATTTTAAATTATGTAAAGTTAAGAATAATGTTGAATAAGTTAAGATCTATTGGTCCATAATATTTTTTTATTTTTGTTTTTAAGGTGTAAATTTTAAAATAAAACATGTATAATTAAAATTCATTTAAATTAACATTTGACTCAATTTTAATTAATATTTAATTTAATTTAAATTTTAAAACTAAATTTTTTATTTCTAGATATAAGTATGAATTATTCATTTATAAAAATAATATATTTCAATATATATATATATATATATATATATATATATTATTCTATTCATTATAGTTATATCCTAATACTTAATATATAATATAAAAAAAATAAATTCGATAATATGATGTAAAGTATTTTGGAATTTCATGTTGTTGATCGCAATCTTCTCTTCGAATCCAAAAAGAAAAGAATGGCAGACAAAGAAGGTTTTGTTTATGAGCGACCATCAAAATCAATATGAAATAATGAAATATATGGTTTGTACTTGCTTAATGATATTATGCCATTAAAACCAGTAACAAGGGTTTTCTCTGAGAGTTAAAGTTGGAATTAAAGAGAGAGGAGAGAAAGAGTTTATTTTACGGTAACATTTATTTGAGAAATTTTAAATATATTTTATAAACTCTTTAAAATTTTCTTAAATTTATACTTCTAAATTTTTCGTTAAATTTATACTTATAATTTCTCAAATTCTTTCTTTTTATTTCTTTCAAGTTCTCAAATAAAGTTTAAGAGTATTTTGACTAATTAAAATAATTATAAAATAAAGTTACTTACGGTTAAATAATGAAAGTATTTCACCGTGTCCATTTGACGAAAAAGGTGCAAATGGACTCTAAATATTCTCCAACCAATTGTGTTTATATCAAAACATATATCATATGTATAAATAAAAGAGAGGTTATTTATGTAATATATATTATTTCTCTTTATTTCTTCTTGTGGTATTATTTTTGTTATCTTATATTTTCCCTCTTCTGTATGTAAAAAACATTAATAAAAATATATTTATAAACAACAAATTTCCGCCTCCTCCTTTTTGGACAATCATTGTTTTTTTCATTCATTTAATAATATAAGACAATTAAGGTGGCTACTTTTTTTATATGATTTTTATTTTTTAAAATTAAAAAAATATGAAATCTTTTGCAAAATGACAAGAATATAGAATTGAAAAATCATCATTGACGATTTGTCATGCAGTGTAAAAATTTAGAGATAAAAAAAATAATAAAATTTTAAAAGTTATCAATAGTGATTTTTAAAAAATATTAAAAATTTAAAAAAAATTAAAAGTCACCGATGACGATTTTAAAAAATAATTAAATATTTAAAAAATATATTAAGAGTCATTGATGGTAATTTTTGATCAAAAATCGTTAATAGTAATTTTAAAAAAAACTATACTTTTATAATTTTACAAAAAATTTCATATTTTTTAAATTAAAAAAAATCCATATATAAAAAAATGTTCCAATCGAGGCTTGTGCTAAATACTAAATAAGCAATCCATCTTGACTTCTCATCTTGCTAGGATACAAAATACTAAATAGCTATTTCTGACAAATCACACCTTAGTATCAAAATCAACGATAGTGATACGGAAGTTCGAGTTCAACCGTTGAAATTTAGTAATTAAGTATTTTTCACAAGTTCACCATTAAAATTAAAGACAAAACTGATAAAAAGGGACAATCTCATTACACAACCAACATTCATTTTCACATTTAAATAATATAAAAAGATAATAACAACAATAGCACATGGGAATTATTATTATTTTCGTTCAAAACGTTTATAATGAAAATAATGCATTCAAATAGCCACTAGGTTGGTTCTTTAAATATTTTATAAATAAATTATAAGTATTTAACATTTTCAAAAGAATCATGCAACATTGTATTTAACAAAAATCTTTTTGAATATATAAGTTTTCTTTTGTGGCAGTGATGACATGAATGTCTGATTGGGGGATTGCACTTGCACCGAGAGAGTCCTTACAAAAATCTAACACCATCGTCATCAAATCATCACTTTCGGAGAGGATATTCACAAAATACTACTTATAAAGAAGCATTTACCATGTACTGTCAAAATAAGAATTATCTCATTTCATTAAAAAGAACACAGAACTCCACAACCTCAAAGTCTTTTCTGAATCTGAATCTTCCCCACTCCCATGCCTCTCACTGATCATATCTCTCTGACTTTACTTCCAGTCAATCATACATCACCAGTTGTAGTACATGCCCTTCTCCTCCGTCTTGTTTTCATCAATACTCAAGTACCCATTATTACTATTACTACTAATCATTTGCTTAATAACCTCTAATTCATAATCCAATGCTGTTTGCGTTTGAAAATAGCATCCATTTGCCTTTTCTGCCCATTGGTTCATACCCTCTTGCCCTTGACTAAGCATAATTTTGTTCATGTGTTGATCTTCATACATGAAATTCTGAAGACCCATTTCTTCTTGTTTGATCTCTCTCCCATGGCTAACTTGACTACAGCTTCCATCAGAGGAGCTGCAACTTCCTTCACTTCCAAACACAAGCATGGGGCTGTCTGTGATAGGGTAATACTGCATGGGACTAATGACACTAACCAAGGACTCTTGGTTTTGGTAAAAGGGTAAAGAGATGGAGGTCGTTGTGCAGCTTGTGCTTGTGTAATTACTTGATGGAATGGAAATTGGTTCAAGGCATGTGAAAGACGAGGTTGTCGCTTGTGCTGGGGTGGTGTGATAAGAGTTGTTGTAGTAGTCTCTGTAGATTGAGGAGGATAGTGAGTGAGGAGGAAATGATGGTGTGTTTTGAGGAGAGGATTGGTATGGTGGTAGTCTTTGATGGGCCGAAGGAAGCAACCCCATGAGTTTCCTCTTCAGTTTGGTGTTCCAATAGTTCTTTATATCATTGTCAGTCCTCCCTGGCAATTGAGCTGCTATAATTGACCACCTGAAATTAATATCATGAAAAAAATGAACCAAAAGTAAGGAAATCATTGTCTTCATTAGTGGTTGCTGTTGCTAGATCTAAACTTGGCATCCGTGTGGAAGATCAACTTCCCAAATATAGGTAGATTCTAGATAACTTCATAGTTTTCTCAAATGCTCAAATCCCTAGTTGTTGTGTATTTTTTTTTTTCTCCTTCATTTTTTTAACCCCTTTACCTTTTTCTACGTACCCCTTAAAAGGATAGACTTCATCAACGTTTCACCAGAGCATGTATTTATTTAGTGATTAAAGGGGAAGGAAAAAAAAATGCAAATCCATTATTTTGGATCTAGAGAATAATTATAGAAATTATTGAGTACAGTTAGTGGGTCTAGCTATACCATTTGTTGTGCATAAAAATGGGAATCAAGAACTAGTACCTGCTTCCAATATTAGCATAAAGGCTACAAATTATTCTATCTTCCTCGTCGGAGAATTCCCCGTGCTTAATGTTAGGCCTGAGATAGTTAAGCCATCTCAATCTGCAACTTTTTCCACATCTCTTTAGACCTAATCATATATCAGAGTCAGAGCATATTAGATAGAGGGAATACAAACACATTAAAAGGAGGCATAAGCATAGGTTTAAAGTCTACAAATTCTCGCATTTTTCATAAAATGGTGAGAGCTATAGCATTAATGCGATGAATGAATGATGGTGATGTGTGTGATTTCTTACCAGCTTTCTGAGGAAGAGCGATCCAATTCCCTCCAGTTCCATGCTTCTCTATGTACTCCTTTAACTTCGAGTCTTCTTCTGGTGACCATGGTCCTCTCTTCACATTTGCCTTGTCACAACAAGGAGCTCTTCCCATTTCTCACCAATAACTCTAGAAAACCTCTTAACCTCTATGATATATCCAAATTCCAAACCCTCACTTTCTAATGAAACCTTGGTGGGGTACTGCTTGTGTCTTATAATAAGAGACCTAGCTTTTGAACAGTTAAAATATTGTTATTTTATTATTGCATACAGAAGGAGAGAAGCAAAAATGAAATGAAAGCATGGATAAGACGTTTATGTACGAATTATTTTAATTTATCATTCTTCTAATGTGGACTCATTCTCATGGAGAACTTTCTAACCTTCAACGTTGGCTCCCTGGCCAGGCCATATAACTCCACTCCGAGATTTCTTCCTTTTTCTTCTATAATTAATCACAAAACAAAAGTATCCAAAGTTTGTCATACACAAAGAGACATAACCCAACAGGAACTATTGCAGTGATGGTTACATCTACCAGACTTATGACTCTATCCAAACACAAGGACCAAAATGGAGGCATGGCTTAGTTTTCTTCGGCATAGTGGGGTGGCCTAATATTTAATTATTATTGTTAATTAATGCATTGACACTCTGCCAAAAGTAAAACATTAAGATTGAAAAGGACAACAACAAAAAATTGGAAAGTTGCACGCAATTTAATTATTAAAAATACTTTGTATTATAATATAATTAATTACATATCTAACGGGAGGAATATGTGTGATTAGGGCGCACCTGAATATTCAAGAAATTAATGGACTTAATTATGTAGTATTATTTGAGTTGTCAGAAAATCATTGTGTAGCAGACTAGCAGTAGGTGTATCTTTTGCAACTGCACACGACCATGTCCTTAAACTTAATTTATAACTAAAAATGAAATATAGTTAGATATTAATTTGTGGATGCAAAATTACACACAACTCTCTCTCTCTATATATATATATATAGATATCTGTGTGTGTGTGTGTGTGTGTGAAAGCGTAAATAGATGTCTCCGTTTACACTCTTTCCCCAGCTAGGTAGATTGGGGTTCAAGGGAAATTGCATGCACGATAACTGTTGAGGAACGAGCTAGTACAGTATATCCACTTTGCATTATTATAAATAATGGTAACTTTGTAAGTGATGAGAATGATCATTATGTTTCATTTTTGATAGGGTCCTATGGATCAGATCCTTCGGCATTAAATTTATCTGGTCAGGTGTTCGAATTGACTACATAATTAATCAATGCAATTTTATAGCTTGTCCAAATTTAGCGCTGAAACATCATAGCAGCAGTAATGTGAAAAATAGGCAAAATAATTCTCAATGATTTGTCACGCTATAACATTCCTCCTATAGGGAGCCTTGTGTTGCTTGGCGACATATAAGAATAGTGAAGAGACCTATGGTCTCTTTGGAAAGGCCCTATTCAATTTCGTTGATCATACATGATGGTGTGTCTATATGTATCGTATAGTGCTGATCATTCTTTTTCTTTTCTGTACAATTTTTTTTTTTTGGTAATCAAATGAGTCCTTAGAAAAAAAAAGTAATATAAGATAGTTGGTATGGTGAAGATAAATAAAATAATATTGTAAAAAATTAAGTTAAATCACTTTTATTTTTAAAATTTATATTTAGTCATCTAATTTTAATTTTAATTTCAGTTTTGTTTATCTAAACTTTTAATTTAATTTAGTTTTTCTAACTCATTTTTTTACTTGTGTTCTAATTTTTGCTAATTGCGAGTATACTTTAATATTTTACATAAATATGAGTTTATAAAGAAGATAAAAAAATAATACCAGTAATATAAGTTTGATTGAGATTTAGCCAATATCAGTGACTATTCGGTAGTTGCTAGGTGGGCAACCAGAGGTTTTAAGAAGCAATTTGAAGTTTTGAATAATTGTTTGACAGTGAAGTGTGAAGGAAGTGTAAAATAATAATAATAAAAAACTTTAATTAGTCTAAAATGTTGTTATTTACAATTTTTTCTTTGATTCGGGAGGCAAGGTAAAAGTCAGATAAAAAATATTTGATGCAAAAATTTTATTTAAAGGATTAAATCAAATAAAAAGAGTTAAAAAAATTATCTGAAAATGTTATATAAATAAATAACTCTTTGTTTTTACTTCTTTTGGGATATCCTTGTCTTATTTGTCGTAAATGAATAATATCCTATAATTGGTAGTCTCTCTGTCTATATATATACGTACTAAAAGGGAAGAAGGAAGCTATTCAGTGGCTTTAAAATTCAGCTCTACGTGATATATGAAAGATTTTGACTGTCGTAATAATGGATTATCTTTAAATTTAATGATAAGCGGGGGAGTTTATGCAAATAGAGTTTTGTCATATTAATTATGATGATTTCACGACATATGATTATTTTTAATTATTGTCTTATCTTTTGAAATCAGTTTAAACAAAATGCTCTCAATACTACATACTTTGATTTATTTAATGAAAGTTGTGTCATTGCTAACGTATGCTTTTGCTGGCACCTAACTATACTGTGCGGTTCTCTGCATCTCAAAATTATGGCAATTGTAATATAAGGTAATTAACCAATTAAGTACGTGACGCTCATGTTTAAGTATTCGATCCCATTCTTCTAATAAAATAATTTTTGTTTCTTTTCTTTTCGTCTTCTGTCTGTCTTCTGGAACTGTAACAAAGCACAGTTAAGTTAATTACATGCATGCATACATATATGGGCGGAAATATATTTATCTAAAATATGTATTGTCAAACTAATTTGATTTAATTTAATATTTTCTTATAAGTGTTAATTTTAAATAATTTAACTGTAAAATTAAATTTTTTATTAAATAAACTGCGTATTATTTTGTATTAAAAATTTAATCAATGCTTTATAACCAACCACAAACCTTCAAGGGGAGTCGATTTGTTTTATTAATTTTAACCATGCCTATGGAAAAGGGGAGGAAAAAACCAAAATTAAATGATGTTTTCCTAATACCTAATTGATAATATATTAAAGTACTTTTCGTATCTCATCATGATCAAATTCATAGTTTTTTTTTTCTTACAGTGTAAGTTTAGAAGAATATTTTGTTATTGGAATAAAATTATCACATTGGCAAAAGAAGGATCAAATAATTAACTACTATAATTAAAGTAATGTTGATAGTAGTTGTTCCTTCATGAGTTTACGTTGTCCCTTTTTGTTAAATTGTTTTAGTTGAATCAATGAATGGAGACAAGGAAAGTCTTCTTCGTGTAAAAGAAGAATATAGTGGAAGCTAGTCATAAAGTAAACTTTATAATTTCTAAAGATTAAAACAAACTAATCTTCGTCGGTAGGCAGGGATCTAGGAAGATATGCTGGCTTTAGTTTAGAGTCCACTCTTTTTATAAGCTACCTATATATAATGCCTGCATCTTTGTTCTTACTTTCTGGCTGGAAGTATCACTGTATATAGTGCTTATAACAGTTACTCTAATCTTTGACCACTATATACAAATATAGCAGTCATTATCTCCATATGAAAGCAATGTTTCACCATCCAAATATAATAATCGATCCCCACCCAGATATATTGTAATCAACATATACAAAAAATGAAAAATAAAATCACTCCATGTTCTTGCACATATCCAAAACTATTTTTTTCGTGTTATTTTATTTAATTAGCTATTTTTGTACCTATACTAAAAAATTTGACAATTTATAGAATAAAAGTGTTGAGAACGACAGTGATATACGTAATAATAGATTTATTCAGGAAAACATATATATAGCTAAGTCTATGAGAATTAGGGGCTATATGAATCAAACTAAATCTATTGCTTGTGTACCCAAAATATTTCAGTAGTCTTGTGATATAATGTGATGCTGTATAAAGTTGTGACAAGCAGTTCAAAAGCAGCAGCATCAATCTGGTGGCAGGATATGAGACAGGAGTAGAGGGTGTACATAGAATAATATTAGTTCTTGAATAAGGTTGCATCGGAACGTTGAATGCATATGATGATGTGACGAAAAGCCGAGTTATATATATACAGTCAAATTATAAAGTTGTTAATGTTACTTGCAATATCAAGATTGACTCAAGCTTGCATATTTTTCAAATAAGAGATCAGAATCCGAGATTGTGAATGGAAGGTTTCATTAGGCTTGGACAATTTGAGGTAGCAAATCAGTAATAAAACACTGCAATTTTAAAAGATGAACTTTTTTTTTATTAACTTGCTTTAACAATTCAATGCAACGATAAAGTTCTTTGTGCACAAATATTTGAACAGCTTAATCGATAGTGGCCAATTAATATGTTTATGTTGACATTGTTGTCTTTACGTATATTTGCGCGCGCGGACCTTTATTCTCAATTTTGTGACATGTAATTAATTATATATTGATAAAATATTAATAAGCACTACTCATCTTTTTCTTTTTTTGATTGTGCTAAATTAAAATCGTCTGTTATTCTATCATGCAAAATATAGTCTTTCGTATCTTTTCTTCCCGTTCCATTTCCAAACTCAATTTAATTAATTAAATAGAAATAATATTAATATTGATCTTTAAGATTAAATTTAAATAACTAAAAGTGAGAATCTTTTTATTAAAATTTATTTATTGCATACAAAATAGAAAAATATAATAAATATTTTAATTTAATAAAAAAATATCATTATTATTTTATGTATTTATCAATCTTTCGAATATGATGTTACCAAAACAAATAATTAAAGGGACTGATGCAGTCTTGTGCACTGACTCTCAGATAACAGAGATGATGATGCTTTACCTTTTCTCAGCGGTTGGCAAACTAAGCTGGAAAAAAGTTTAGTCTCTGATCGCCTATGCATTATTGTAGTAATATTAATTAAAATCATTAATAATGAAAATGAAATCAAGGACGGTGTAGCCTTATACTTAGCTAACATTTCGCTTCCACTTGTATCTTCTTGTTCTGTGGCATTAATTTAATTCGGTGCTGATTGATATTACATTAATTACACAAAGTAAAGCCAATAATAGTTAAACATGTGATTCAATTGTAAAACTCTTATCGGTCAAAATTTTTGCATTCTTTCCTACATTTATCATCCAATTATTCATACTCGAAACTCTAGGTAGCGATTTAATTACGGAGTTACACTGAATAATGCACCAGGGATTTGCATTTTAACAGTATGAAGCTTGAACTTGTCTCTTGTCTATATCTCGATTATTCTGCAGTCTTGAGTTTTGTTTTATGCGATTCTTCAGCGCTAGCAATTGTTAGTAGACAAAATGGAAGTAAACATGCATACATGAAACCAATCAAGATAAAATTTTCCATGAAGTTAAAAAAAAAAACACAAAATAAACTCAAAAAATAATACCTTAACCTCCCCGCATAAACTAGAATCAACTTATATATTATATTTTAATTTTAAATAAAATTATTTTAACATCCAATTTAAATGTCTAGCAGATATAATGTACAAATTATAATATATATAATATATAACATCTAAACTCAGTGTTAAAATAAGTATTATTATTAATTTTTTTAATAATACTTATAAATTTAAGATAGTTAATTATTCAGAAGCTCCTTCAACGTTCTTACTTTAAAAATGTGAACAATAAAATGCTATAATTGAAAGGGTTTAATTACTTAAGCTAAAACTAATTGATCAAATTGGTAAAATGTGAATGATTGAAAATGATAGATGAGAAAAGTCAAACAAGTGCTCATAAATTAAAACTAAACTGAGATTGACGAACAGATATATCTTGGCTGGCCCGTGACGATATAATAATAATTATAAAGAAAATTAATGAAGTTATATCACTTTCATTTTCAATTTTCCATTCAAAGTTTCAAGGCTCTTAACTTTATTGGTAGGTCGAAACGTGTCCTTAGTCCTGACTCCTGAGGGTGTAGACCCCACGAAATGACACTTCCCCGCACGTGCATGCACGCTCTCAACAGTGTGATTGTGGCAGTAATAGTGAATTCGTAGAGTAGCTGCGACTGTATGACATATATGTATGATTGTAGACACTTGGCTGTGCCTAGTTTTCGAGTAATATAGGCAATGGCCATGTTAAAAGTATGTATGTATGCTTGTGTCGGTCAAACACTCAAGTATATGTGTCCCATGGCTTAGATACATTTATCTACGTACACCTTTCAGGTGAAGCTAGCTATATAGTATTGCTTTGCTTCTTCTTGTTTGATTTGCTTTATTAAATTTTTACTAAATGGTATTCGCATTCATTTATGAATATGACATGCATGTATACATATGGATAAATAAGGGTTGGTTGGTTGGTCATTAGTTGAGTGGTGAAGACTGAAGAAGAGCAGAGAAATTTAGTAGGGAAGGCGTGGGGGTCTCGTGTGGCTCTGTATTCCCTGTGGCTGTGGCCATGGTCTAAGAACTAGGGAAAGGGAGAAGGACCAATCAATCAGTCACCTCATGCAAATAACATAGTGCAAATTGCTAGGGATAATTTCAAACTTCATTATCTTCACATATATTTATTTTTACTTTGCTAGCTCTATTTGATTTATATTAACTATAACCTGTGATAGATTAATTAAAGAAAGCTAACATTTTACTGCTTGATTACCAATTTCCTTTTGTTTGATGAGGTTGGTAAGGATTGGTTTGCAACTTTGAATTTGAAACTAGCTAGAGCTACCCAATGGTTAAATATATGTGATTAATGGGTTGGTTAATTTAATATGGCACCTTTGCTAACAAACACAGAGAGAGAGAGAGAGTGAGAGTAGTCAAAGCAGTGTGATCATTAGGAGCTGTACACCAATTTCATGGTCATTGGTCACCAAATCAGTTTTCTGTTCGCACCCTCTCGTTGTTCTTATGACGTGACTTCACTTATCTGCCATTGGCACATTCTTATATTTGTTCTCATGGGACGTTCTTATTTTAATTTGCATTATATTTAGGTAACGTTTGGCGTGTGGGCAACCCATGGAAATGCGTTTTTGTTGTGTTTTATACTTTTATTCTTCTAATTTTATAATTTGATCTGAACATCGCATTGGGTCCCGAGTCTTAGTCTAATTAATTCAAGTCAGTAAATTTCGGCACTTATTTTGTTTATAATAATATTTGAAAACGTGGTTTTATTTTTTAAAAAAAGTTTGTATTACTTTATACAATAATTAATGACGATCACGTGCAACCGCTGGTTACTGACTAACCGCTCCGGCACCTACTGCGTGAACATCGACAAAGACACCTTCATCGTCACCGTCACGGCGTCCGGTACCGTGGCAAGGCGATGGCTGAATGAAACCATGATATTAATCAGGTCTCCGTCAACAACCGCACAGCCGTGGTGGGTCTCGGCGTGCAGTAGAGTAACAGCGGCTCACGAGCGGCGGACACAGTGCAGTTGTGCGTGGGGCAACGGTGTTTGATTTTCCAAATCTCACGCGCCGAATTCGTGCCGAGTGAACTGCGACACTTCCTGTGGAACCGTGGGTTCACCTTCGTGGGGTTCTGGAACCGTCACGATAGAGCGATGCTGTGGCAATCGCGGCACGCGCTGCAATTGAGGGGTGATCCTTTGGATTTGGTTCGATTGGTTAGGAATGAAGTCGCTGGTGCTCCACTAGAGATGATCGTTGAAGAATATCTGGGTTTCACTGGAGTCAGGCTTACTCGGAATGGTAGTATGAGTGATTGGAATAGACCCCTTCTCACCTTTGCACAGATTTTCCAAGTCGCTGCCGAAGCTCGCTGCGCTTACCTCATTGCCACTTTGTTGCAGGCTTGGCAATTCAGATATATTCACTAATTCTATTTTACTATATATGTCTTCACGTTTTAAGGTTAATTTACAAGTTGTAATTAAAAAACTCATTTCCTTTAGTACATAACTATGTCCCAGATAGATCGTCGATCTTAAGCTCAGAGATGAGTCTGAAAATCCTAGTTCATCAATGGAGTTTGACAATAACATCTTGAAGGTTTGTAGACGTCAATTGCTCGAATTCACTTCCGTCTTTAGTGTCATGCTACATAAATTAAAAAATATGCCATGCTACACAAATTAAAAAATATCCGAACGCATAATCACCATCAGCTTTCTTATGAGCTTATTTTTGTATGGTGTTCCTTATCTGCAGCAAGCTCTTCTTTCTGATATGAAGTTGATTGCCCAACTTTCTTGTTCTCCTCAGACGTATATACACACAATTCAAGTTTTTGACTTCATACATTATTTAATTATAACATATAACAATTATCTATAACTAATATATTGAATGCTTTGACAAATTATTTAATAGAAAAAAAACAACCTTTACTTTTTTCTTTGGTCGAAATCAAAAAGTAGTCCTAAGAAAAATTATATTCTTTTAGTAAAATTATTTTAAAAATATTCAATTTTAAAAAACTATATTACTTGACATTAATTGAAATTTTTTTTAAACCATAAGATCAAAATACAATATAAAAAAAACTGAAATCCCAAAAAAAAAGCAGCAACACATTGTAAGTTAGATTAGTTAAGAAAATAATGATATTTAATACAAATTAATCATTTAAAAATAAAATTCAATACATTATATCATTTAAAAATAATACAATTTTATGCTTATGCAATAAAATAAAATATATGAACACAATTTACTGAAATAAAAAAAAAATATCAACCTTAAAAATACATGACTTATATAAGGGGAGATAAAATTTTACTCAGTGATACATAAAGAGTTAAAAAATAAAAGTAAAAAATTAATATAATAAAAGGTATCTTTTTCATCTATATTATAATTTGTTTATATTTTTATTAGAAATTTAATTTAATAATATATAATATAAAATAATAATTTTATAAATATATTTTTTTAATAAATTTCTTATTTGATTTCTTAGCCAATACTCTTGGGACTGATACTTAACATTTACTTTTTTAAAAAATAAGAATATTAACTTTCTAAAAAATATTCTTATTTAATTAGTTCACAATCACACCTAACACTTTCAATAAGAATATTTTCTTGAAAAAAGATGACTAATTTGTCACAATGATTAATGTAATCAATAATTAAAAAATATTAAATATTGCTTAATGGTTAAAAAACATGCATTTGATTCTTATATAGTAAATGTTTTTTATTGATAAAAGCTTTACTTTTAATTGAAGGTACAAGTTAAGTATAATGCTAATATCTGACTAGTATACCATTAATTGAAGATTATCGATTAGTGAAACAGAGTTTAGGCAAGGATTCTCGAGACTGGAAATGAATGTTTTTGGTCAACTCAGGTCTTGTTTCTGAAAAAAGGCTTCAAACTAAAAACTAATTGTTGTGGGCAACACTTCGAGTCCAACTAGTTACCGGACCTGGGTTTGTTGGCCCATATAACCAACATCCAATAGCGCATCGATTTTTTACGCCAAAAAAAGACAACTTCGAGAAAAAGACATAATTACCCAACAACAAAATCAGTGTGTATGGCAGTATCGTCATTTAAGACTAACCAAACACTGCTAAGTGTTACAGTTGAGGTCAACCCGAACACGATGACGAACATGAACGCGTACACGATATTAAGACTCTGTTGCAAAGCTCACAATCCCAGAGCCAAAATCTCAACTTGTACACGACCCAATCTCGCAATTCAAATACTCTTTCTGGGTCTTTGTTCCTCTTTTATCCCTGCATCGTGTTCAGTATCAAACCGGAAGCCACCACCTCTTCCAATTTTACCCCTCCCAAGCGCATTTCAGCTCCAATGGCAACTGGGAAACATGGCCCTCTTCATCCACTTCGGAATGAACACATTCTCCGACTCAGAGTGGGGTTCCGGCCACGTCCACCCTTCCACCTTCAACCCCACCAAACTCAACGCATCTCAGTGGATAAGGGTCGCAAAAGATTCTGGCTTTTCTCGAGTAATCATTACCACTAAACACCACGACGGTTTCTGCTTGTGGCCTTCTGATTACACCCATTATTCCGTCCGTTCCAGCAAATGGAAAAATGGGAACGGCGACGTCGTCGCCGAGCTCGCCGCCGCCGCCAAGGACGCCGGCGTCGGAGTCGGAATTTACCTTTCTCCTTGGGATCGACACGAGCCTTCATTCGGTGACTCTCTGCGGTATAACGAGTTTTATTTGGCCCAAATGACCGAGTTACTCACTAGGTAACTATGAATCTGAGTTTGTGTTGTGGTTCATCTTTCTATGTTAATGGGTCGTTTCTGATTTCTTCAGTAACTCACTGAATTTATTTGCTTTCACGAGTTCGAAGCTTCTATCTTGTGACTGTATATAGTTAGATTTGTTACTTATCTGGTTAGTTATGCACATGAGATTAGTTTAGCTGGTGATAATTTAATAATTTAATATTTATATTACAAGCATATGATTACCGGGTTTACATAGCAAACGAAAAAAACTTCTACGTAGGGTGGAATGCTCGATCTAATGCCTACCATTTATTAAATTATACTACTTACTAAAATTCTACATAGTAACAAACATTTTCTTTGGCTGAGATCTCAGGCAGTTTTTGAAAAGCTGCAGAAGATCCACCCTTGTTTTAATCTCAATTCTGAAGTGTATATCACAATGTTCAAGTTGTTATGTGATTTAAGATTGGAATACATCGTTTCGTCGCTCTATTTAGAACCAAGCGCACATTAGCGTAGCCATTTTATTTTTCCTAAACCAGATTTAGTTTTTGCCTTCACGAGGTTGATATTTATGAGTTAGCTTGATCCGGTGATTTTTTTTTCTGTTATTTCGCAATGTGCTTCTAATATGGATTCCATTTTTTGATTTAATAATTAGTGCATTCAAACCAGGTATGGAGATATAAAGGACGTTTTTCTGGATGGTGCAAAAGGAGAAGGGGAGAAGGACATTGAATATCTCTTTGAAAGTTGGTTTTCTCTGATTCACCAGCTCCAACCAGGGGCCACTATTTTTAGTGATTCAGGCCCTGACATAAGGTGGGTTGGAAATGAAAATGGTGTTGCTGACTCCACGTGTTGGTCTCTTTTCAACAGGACTGCCGTTGGAATTGGTGATGCTGACAATGATCAAGAGTCAGTTCTATTTCCTACGACTCCTAATATTTGTTTTCCTCTCTTTCAAATTATGTTTAGGTTTTTATTTTATTGTCAACCACCATCATATAAATAATAATTAATGCTAATTGCATGGTGTATGAGCTGCGCCAAGCATTTTTTCATACCTAAATTTTGAAATTCATACATTGATATTCAGAGGATTGAGCTTATTGTAAATGAAGTTGAACAATGTAAACTTCAGTCATTAGTTCTTTGTTGCATGTATCCATGGCAAGGCTTCATACCGGAGTAAAATGTAGATGAGTAGAAATGCTCTGGAAGTGAGTGGCATGTGAACAATGTACTAGTCTTTGTGTTATCCATAGACTCGTAGATCTTGTTTTCTACCTATGACTAATATAGATATTTACCAAATGTTTTGGTCATTTAACAGATACCAAATGAAGGGAGACCCAGATGGTCCTGATTGGGTACCTGCTGTGTGTGATGTCTCTATAAGACCTGGTTGGTTTTGGCATGCTTCAGAACTTCCAAAGTCTGCTAAGAGTCTTCTTGAGATATACTATAAATCTGTCGGTCGAAACTGTCAGCTGTTTCTGAATGTGCCTCCAAACACCTCAGGTCTGATTTCATCTGAGGATATCCAAGTGCTTAAAGAATTCAGTGAACTTCGAAGGTCGATATTTTCGCATAATTTGGCTACAAACGCTCTTGTTAATGCCAGCAGCACAAGAGGAGGAATTCAAGACTCTCCCTTTAGTCCTCACAATGTTCTTGAAGAAGGTATGCACACATATTGGGCTCCTGAAGAAAACAAATCAAAATGGGTATTGTACATAAATCTCCAAGAACAAGTATCCTTCAATGTTCTGCAAGTGCAAGAGCCTATTTACATGGGACAACGTGTGATTGAGTTTCACCTTGAGGCTTTGCACCAAGATGGTTTATGGAAGAGAGTTATAACTGCCACAACAATTGGATACCAGAGGCTGTTGCTGTTTCCTAAACTACAATGTCAGCATTTGAAGCTTGTTGTTGACAAGTCACGTGCAGACCCATTGATATCATACATAGGAATCTACATGGATTCAGTTACCGTTTTGAGTGAAGTATCTGATGTAAAATCATTGGCCTATTTCAATGCAAGCCTAGTTCGTCACAATACTACATACAACAACAATTCCCCAATTGCTGCAATGTAATTTTTTTTTGTAATTGTAAAATTTGAAAACATTTTTTCGTGGCTAATACACACTAAATTTCTTTGCTCCTTTATAATTCCTGAAATGTGGAGATATCCAGAAGAGCAAGATCTCAAAGAATTTGTATTTTCTTTTGCACTGTTTTTAGTACTCCGTATTGTCCTAATGAATAATATTGAAAAATGTTGGCAATACCAATACATTCACTCAAAAAACTCATTTTTATCATAATTTTAATCAGTTTTTAATTAATATCTTAATTAACGTTTTAAAAGTATTTGTTAAGAAGACCTTAATACATATTGCTTTAGTGGCTGATTTTCTTCAACTTCTTAATTTTTTATTGATTTGGTCAGTAATAAAACAAAATAATAAGGTTATATAAACTGTACCGAATCCTATGAGAGAGGAGAGAAAATTAACATAAATATATGATCTATTAGATAACTTCTCTTAAAATTGCAAGGATAGTTACTTAATTTACAATGTGAAAAAAAATTATAATATCATAGTATAAATAACTAATGAAAATATTTTATAATTAATTATTTTAAATTTATGTCAATAAATTATATAATCAAATTTAGAACATAAATACAAAATAATTAAATAAAATTTAAGTAATTATTATCCGCTGCCAATATAAATATCTCTCATCGGTGGAGATAAAAGCTTATTGACTGGGAGAGGAAATTTGAAGAGAGAGATGGAAGAAGAAGAAGGAAGCAGAGAAAGAGTAACGTGCGCGGTTTTAAGCATAGATCACAGCAATATGCATTACAGAGTGTGCGGTGTATGTGAAAGGACTCTTTCAACGGCAACACTTCTCTGCGCATTCTGCAATTCCTCCCACTCCAAACGACTCTTCCGAATCCTCATGTCAGTTGCAACAGACACTGACGTTCTCACTCTCGTCTGCTTCGATAGGGTTGCCACTACCCTATTTGGCTGCTCCGCCGATCACTTTTTCCATTTTGCGAAACTACACCCATTTTCTGGTATTCTCTTCCTTTCCATTTTACTTCATAACTTGTCTTCCTTTTATCTTAATAAGCTTTATTATTAAATTTAAGACATAAGACAAGCGTCACTATTAGTTTGTGATTTTTACGGGACTGGAACAGAATTACCTCTGGGAGAAGATAAAGATGTATGTTTTGATTAAAAAAAAAAAAGTTGGGTATCCAAGCATGTTTCATTAACTGGTATTTATTTATTTTTGGACTGGCTTTGGGGTGCAGAGGTGACTGTAAGTGAAATACTGAAGGGAGAGATGTTCACAATGACTCTATCCAAACCAATGAATGGCAATGCACAGAATCTAAGACTGACATCAGCTATTCCTTTGAGCTCTCAATTTCGCCCTGTATTTGAGGTTTTGAAACAATGCTATGGATCACCATAACTATGCTTCACTTTACTTTATTTTCAATGTCTACTTATTGATATTTCCTTTCTTTTCATTATTGTAACCTCCTCTTCTTTTTTAAGGTCATGCTTTATTGCTGAATGTATTCAATAATCAATATTGTTCCAAATTCTTCGATGCACAGTTCCAGTGATTGTAGAAACATAAAGGCCAAGAATTCAATATTTGCTTTAGAAAGAAAAGAAAATTTCATTCCACTTTCCACCCTTCCAATATACACAAACAAATGTCATCAATATCTATTGCAAAGAGAAGGCTGGTGTTTTGTGCCAAGAGTGAATCATTTAGGAGAGACATTATCTCCACCCTTTGTCATTGTCAGTTTCCCTTGCATCCAGGTTCTAAGCATCTGAAGTGCCGCTTTTGGTTGATCCATAGGGACCATATGACCAGCCTCGTTTACCTGTTTATGCATAAATCAATAAATAAAGTCACCAAAAGTGAATTAACGCTGCCATGCTCATCAATAAACCCTTGAACACAAACCTTGAGGAAAGCCAGTGGTCCATGGCTTTTCAGCATTCCAGCTTCTGCACCATCAACCAAAAATGGGACTGCAGGAGATGCCCCAAATTCTTTTTTACCTGACCATTCCATTGCATGAACCCACCTTGAATTCCCTGTCCAATGACAACCACATTTTTATGGTTATTGATACAAGCATTATTGGTTCCATAATTGAGTAAGTTGTTGGCTTACCAAGCCAATTGCAAATGAGATCTTCTTCTCCAGCATAGACAAGCACCTCGATTCCATCCTCAAGAAGAGCAGGAATACCCACTTCAAGATTTCTCATCCAGTCTTGCATCATTGCTGCATACACTGTGCTACTGCATGAAACAAAGTCCAAGTCCCCAACACCTAAAGCCTCCCTCACATTCTTCTTGTTTAAGAATGTCTCCACGTTGGAGAAGTCATAACACAGACTTCCCTCACATTGTTTTCTAATGTCATAATACTGCAGTCAGAATAACAGAAGGTGTCAGTAAAATCAATCTGCATTATTTTTATATCATGTTTGTCAAAGTATCCTTCTTTTTTTTTTCAATGAATCTATGATATCTTACATTAATGTTGCCGGCAACGGACAAGATCTGATTGAATATGTCATCGCAAACATATAACGAGGATGTGCATGTGTCTCCACCTTCAGTGCCTGACAAATCAAGTTCAAATGAAGAGTGTCGATTAACAAAAGTAAATTGTGACTAGAGCAATAAATTGGTAAATATTTCTCCCATCATGTGCTTTTCTTTTCTATGTTCACCCGCTCTGTGGCTAAGAAAGTTATGAGTGGAAAGGGAAACAAAAAAAATTCAGGAAGTTATTCATACTGCAAGTTTTTATGGCCTGTTCACATGGTGGGATCAACTTCTTGATTCTGTCATAATCAGCCTTTTTAATCAGTCCCCTGTCTAATGCATAGTCTGTATACGCCTGGTACTGGATTTCAGGATTGGTTAACCCATTACCAATTGCAAAACCCTGTTTATTAAATAGGGTCAAAGGGATCAACACAATCACGAACAATTAATTAACCTTTCATAGTGTAATGTAAATCATGAGATAGTACAAGACCTTTAGATTTATATGAATTCCTTCTTTTGCTTTGTTTCCTTGGTGAACCCTGGATGCAAGAGCTGGAATATAGTGTCCAGCATATGACTCCCCAGTAATATAAAAGTCATTCTTAGTGAACTGAGGGTGCTCCTTGAAAAATGCCTGTCATTATTGTAAAATTTAGTGGATCATATGTAAGCACAACGGCAGAGTCTAACATACGTTTTAAAACTTAGATGGTATGCATACCATCTTGCATTTTTAATTTGTGTCACTCACCAAAGTTGAATATAGTTTAACCATTAAATACACGTAATATATAAAATAAAAAAATGATTGAGTTTGATGTTATTATAAATTATTTCCTTTAATCACTTATCAAATTGAATTACCTGCAAGAAGTCATACAAGTCATTGCTAACACCCTCTTCATCATGTCGAATGTCACTGTCATCAGAAGTGTAGCTGAAACCCGTCCCCGTGGGTTGGTCTACAAATAAAATATTTGATGCCTACAAAACAAGAAAATACCGTATTGGAGTCAATATAAAGCAAATTTACTGTAACAACTTGGTTCTTTGAGTTATCGCAAAATAGAAAAACAATAGCATTTATTGCAAGAAGTTATATGCGAGAGAGAACAAAAGTGAGAAAAAGACAAGGGGAATTGAATCAATTGATAGCTACATTATCCCAGCCATAGTCGTTCCACACAAGAGACAAGTTCTTGGTAAACTGAAAGGGACCATTTTCGTAGAACAAAGCTAGTTCACTGCTGCATCCTGGTCCTCCCGTCAACCATATGACAACGGGGTCATCCTTACTGTTCCGAGATTCAAAGAAAAAGTAGAACATCCTGCAAATGACAAAGAAAAAGATTATTTTTTCATTCAATACAAAGCAGGACCACATATTATCTCCTAATTATTTACAAAAAAGATAAACTTCAAATTTACTAATTAGCAACCAAAGTACTGCTGCATTGATAACTAACCTAAACCAGTATTATAGCTATATATATGTAGCAATAAATTTAATTAAGTTGATTGAGATTCAGGCAGAATGACATAACCTAGTGAAATTACATTTTGCTGTGATGACGGCATGCATGTGATGTGTCAAACAAACATGTTACTTGTGGGACAAATTTATGGTTCTTCAATGTTACTCAGAAGTCACTTTAAAATCAAAAGTGAATAACTTTTAATTGAGTGACCCGAGATTCCAGTAACAGCTTTCTGTAAAACAGGATAAAGGGGTGGAACCGTGGAACAATTATTTGATCTTAATCATCAATCTTTTGTGACACATTATTCAATTCATATGACATGGCTTCAACTATTGGTTACAAGAATTTTAACTTGGGTTGCTTTAAACCAAAATATCCCTCTTGGCACTTTACTTTCTCTACCTAACTGAATAAAGCAGTACGCAAGCTAAATAGCCCCTCAAAATCACAGAAAAAAAAGAAAAAACTCTTCATCACTATCTTTCTAACATGAATACAACTACTATTACTGAACAAGGATGAAACTAACAAAACTCAATTCAAACTAGAAAACGCATGTCGGTGTTTTCATCTTTACCTTGCAGCTTTGGAACGAGGAAGGCGATAATAGCCTGCATGGTGACCAAGATCTTCAACAGAAGGTGCTGACGCAGCAAGACTAGGAAAAGTGAACCTCTTCTCCACAATGGTTCCTGTGACATCATGAGGGTCATTCACAAGTGTGTTAATGGAATCTTTTGGGAAGAGGTTAAGCCCTCTAATGAGTTTTTCTGCCATTAGTTTTGGGAGAGATGCTGTTGAAGAAAAGCGAAGGTCATTGCTTGTGGGATAATAAGGAGATGAGAAAGAAGGTGAAATGAAGATGAGGAAGAGCAACGTAGAAAACAGACACATTTTGAGGAACCTTGACGATGATGCCATGTTGTTTTCCTTCGTTGCATAAAAGCGTGGCAATAATTTTGGATTTATAGTACTGGCTACGTATGCAAACTGCTTTGGCTGCCTTGGTCTAGTGGAAAAAGTTAGCGGTTTCAAAGCACTTTCAGGTTGCTATTTTCAAATAACTACCTGAGGCTTTTCTTATAAGGAAAATTCTAGGCAAAAAATAAATTATTAAAGCCTGTGTTATTATAAGAGAAATTGATATTTATAAAAACAATTAATAAAACAAGTACATTGAGACTTGCTCTTAAAATAAATAGATATATTTCCATACACATAATTTTTAATCAAATCAATAAATAGGCTATTTCATTGCTAAAAGTTAAGTGACGGACGACCAGTTAGCATGTCTTGCAAATGTGGCCTCCTTTCCCGTGCGTTCTTTAACATTTTATGATGAGTAATTGAAAAATAACATGGAATTAAAATAGATGGAGGAAGGAAAAAAAGATGTAATGCAAAAAAAATTTATATTTCCTAACTTTTTTTCTTGATGACACGCTTATCATTTGATGAATAAACAATTATTTTATTTCTTCTTTTCGAGAGGTGCTAAATGATCAACACTTCTTATCTTAAACACCTTTTATTTGTTACAAAACATTTATCTTGTTCCTCATCCGTCATATCATTATGTCACGATTAACATCCACAATTCTTATAAGATACAATTGATTTTACGTTAAAAAATTTAAAACGCTTGGCATCGTATATTCTGTATTTGTGAAGCCAGTGAAGGAGCTTAGTAAGTGTTGCGTGTAAGATATGATAGTGGTGCCTTAAATACATGCACACGCAAACACTATTTGAACAAAGAAAACTGATGTGTGTACCCAACCATTTTATAAACCCCACTTTATGTTATTTTTATTTTAATATATGGTTTTCAGTTCATGGTATTATAACTATGAGTGGCGTACAAGACGATCAACATCTTTAGAATCAAAGTTAACCGGAAGACCTATCTATTCACCTTTGGGTATCAATTATCAAAAGCATTGGAAATTAATATTTTAATTTTTTAAAGATAAAATTTTATTAGTCCACCAAGAATTGTATTATTTATCTTATAAAATAACTTAGATAAATCCGTTAATTATATATGATTTTGAACTGAAGATTTCCATCTAATCTTCATTTTATTAATTCTTACCACCTGAGACATGAATATAGTTATTGGGTCAGATTCATACAACGAGATGCTGTGAAAGTATTCAACCTGAAGGCTCAAAGTGCCGTTTGTGATCAACATAACATAAAGATCAGAGAGGTGTTACTCTTTACAGCCAGGTTGGACCCTACCATGACCAATCTCTAAGACAAAAAGAACAAAATATGGCAAGAAATCGCGTCAAGTTTGTTTTGCTTTGTGAGCATTTCGAGCAACTTTATCCATCGATCGTTGCTTGTTTTACGAAGATCTAACATTACAAACAAGATATACTATTACTTCAATGATCTGGTAACGCTTCTTAAGGGTCATATAGTGGACAAATACTTCAAGTAAAATACTCGTAAAGTAACTTTAAGAGAATATTTGTTTCTTAGCCTAAAGCTTTATAAGTTTATGTTAATGGTTCCAAAATAACTTGTGTACATATATTTATAGTTATGATTTTATAATCTAACTTAGGCAAAAAGTTTTGACATGTCATGTGAAAAAAAGAAGGTTAAGGCTATTAAAATCCAACACAACCAACTACGCTCTCTCAAGGTGCATTGATATTGAATTCGAGCCTCACCTCATAGATCTCACTATTTCAGTAGCTAGGGTTTTCGTATTTATCGGCTTAATGATTTTTTAAATATTTTTTAATAATTATTTACCAAAATAAAATTAAAAATAAACATATTCCCTGTCTGGAGTAAATTTTTGCCACGTCAGACTGTATTTTGTATTTAAGAGAGACAAAATTATTTTTTTTTAATTTGTCTATTTCATCTAAAATAGAGACGAAATCAACTAAAACGTGACACATATCACATGTTTCGTACACAATAGAGACAAAAAAGTAAAATACAAATTTAAATTTAAAAATACAGTTATGCAGACACACTTAGACCAATCAGGGAAGGGAAGAGAAAAATAAATAAAGTGTGTTAGTGGGAAGAGAGAGAAAAAGTAAATGAATTGTGTTGTGTGAATGATGTAGAGTTACGAGAAAATATTAAATGAGATTAGTTGTGAAGAAAGAGAAAAATAAATGAATCGTATTAGTGGGAAGAGAGAGAAAAATAAGTGATGAATTGCGTTGTGTGAATGATGTAGAGTTACGATAAAATATTAAATGAGATTGTTGTAGAGAAAGAGAAAAATAAATGAACCGTGTTAGTGGGAAGAGAGAGAAAAATAAGTGATGAATTGTGATGTATGAATGGTATAGAATTACGAGAAAATATTAAATGAGATTGGTTATGGAGAAAGAGAAAAATAAATGAACGGTGTTAGTGGAAAGAGAGAGAAAAATAAGTGATGAATTGTGATGTGTAAATGATGTAGAGTTACGAGAAAATATTAAATGAGATTAGTTGTGGAGAAAGAGAAAAATAAATGAACCGTGTTAGTGGGAAGAGAGAGAAAAATAAGTGATAAATTGTGCTGTATGAATGATGCAGAGTTACGATAAAATATTAAATGAGATTGGTTGTAGAGAAAGAGAAAAATAAATGAACCGTGTTAGTGGGAAAAGAGAGAAAAATAAGTGATGAATTGTGCTGTATGAATGGTGTAGAGTTACAAGAAAATATTAAATGAGATTGGTTGTGGAGAAAGAGAAAAATAAATGGACCGTGTAAGTGGGATGAGAGAGAAAAATAAGTGATTTTTCTCTCCCTTCTTTTCTCTTCCTTGATTTGTCCAAGTGTGTGTGCAGAACTGTATTTTTAAATTCAAATTTGTATTTTACCTTTTCGTCTCTATTGTATACGAAACATGTGACACGTGTCACGTTTTGGTTGATTTCGTTCTTATTTTAGACAAAATAGACAGATTAAAAAAAATAATTTTGACATGGCAAAAATTTGCTCCAGACAGGGAATATATTTGTTTTTAATTTAATTTTGGTAAATAATTATTAAAAAAATTAAAAAATATTAAGCCCGTATTTATCGCACATCTTAAATAATTCAATCCTCATGAAAATTATTCATTGCAAATCTAGTCATCTACATGAAATAAATTTCAGCCAATACAATTAAACTTGGAATTATCAATCAAAAACTTCAAATAAATTGTTAAATATTTTGTGTGGATTAAGATAAATCAATTTTTGTTATAATTTGAATTTAATTCTAAAATAATAAAATCCACTTATGATTTGAAGTAAGCTCCTAGATAGTAGTACTTGCAGTTTGACCAAGTGGTCACTTCTTTTGGCTTTAAGAAAAATGTTGTAGATCTATGCGTTTACTTGAAGATGAGTGGAGCAATTTTATCACCCTTGTCTTATATGTTGATGATATCTTTGAATGAGATAACAAAAAATATATTGAGTAGCCATTTTGATATGAAAGACCTTAGTGATGTTTTTGTTGTTCTAGGCATCCAAATATGTCGTGATAGATCTCGTGGTACTCTTGGATTGTCTCAGAAAGGTTACATTGATAGGATCCTTAAGATGTTTCATATGTATTATTGCTCCTATGTGTCAAGCCTATTCAAAGGGGTGAGAAACTTTCTAATTCTCAGCGTTCTCATGATGACAGAGAGTTGTGTAAAATGGAGAAAGTTACATATGCTTTCGCTATTGGGAGTTTGATGTGTCCTTAAGCCTGCACTCATCCTGATATTGCTTATGCTGTTAATGCTTTGGACATATACTTGAGCAATCTATGTTTGGGTCATTGGAAAGCTGTGAAGAAGGTCTTGAGATATTTGCAGGAAACTAAAGATTATATGTTGACTTATGCGAAGTCTGATCAACTTCAGGACATTGGATACTTTAATTTTGTAGGTTGTCCTAACGACCGTAAGTCTATTTTAGACTTTATTTTTATGATGGCGAGAGGAGCTATATCTTAGAAAAGTGTCAAACAGATAATTATAACTACCTCTACTATCACTAGTGAAAAAAATAAATTTAAAATCACACTTTTAAAATCAGTTATTAAGTAGTCGATTTTAAAAGTGACGCGGTGACAATTTTGTAAATAATTGCTAGCGTTTTAAAATCAGTTGTGTATGTCTGATTTTAAAAGATATATATAAAATCAGTTTTTCTATTAACCGATTTTAAAAGATATATATAAAATCACTTTTCTTATTAACTGATTTTAAAAGATATATATAAAATCGGTTTTTCTATTAACCGATCTTGTATGATTTTTTATACAAATATCTTCTTTTATTGAGTCATTCTCGCAGCAAAGGAGCCCCTTCCCGTTCCAGCGCTCAGCAAAGACCTAGACAAGTTGGAGATTTGCTCTGGGGTTCCCATCCATTAATATAATAGATTTGCTCCGGGCCGGCAATTGCTCCTCAGGCTTCCTTCCAGCGGAGAAGAGCAAAGCAAGGTCTAGCGGTGGAGCGTCTCGGCCTATCTACTAAAGAAAGAGGTTTTCTAAAAAAAACTCAGGATTTGGAGAGGGTTGAAAGGTGGGGGCAAGATTCAAAGCTGCAATCTTTAAGTCGGAGGCAAGTGCACGCATTTTAGGTAATGTACTTCTTTCGCTGTTTTGGATGCTTTTTCTTTATCTGTACTTGGTTTTACGTTCTAATTTAGATGCCGATAGTAACATTAGTGAATGCATCATTCACAATGTCATCTTTTTTGATTTCCTGAATGACCGTTGCTTATTTTTAATAGGAAATTCAAGGTTGAATAATAGAGATGATCAATTTCTTTGAAGAGATAGTGTTGTTAAGTATTTACACACTAAGAATTATCACTAGAAAATATGGAATTTATATGTTAGTTTAGAAAAAACTGACGAGGAATTATAATTTTAATTGTGGTGATAAAAATAAATAAATGAATTACTATTTTTGTTGTAATGATGAATCTTAAATAATTTGACATTTTT